ACTAATTAGTGGGATCTTTAGTTGGAGGGTGCGTAGTGCAGGATCTTCGGAACTTTTACCGTACGATTCAGAACAAGAGAAAACATTTAAGTAAATTTGAAAACAAAAAAGACTTCAAGAACTTTTATGTGAAATAACGAACATTCAATAAAATAATTTAGATAACTAAATTCCAATTAATGAACATCACAAAACGCTTAGACTATTAAGGGACTATGAAAATCCTACAACATATGAAATTCACTTAGGTGTTCAAAACACTACTGTAGAAACTAACACTTTTGAACTTAAGCCTGTTATTATCCAAATGATGTAGAACAACCAATTTGGGGAACTTCGTCTAAGGATCCAATTTTATACTTAGCAAGTTTTCTGGAACTTTGCCCTACAGTTTGTTGTAATGGCATGTCAAATAATATTGTTAGGCTTAGGATTTTTTCCTTTTCATTGAGGGATAAAAGCTAAAATGTGGCTGAACTTATTAGCATCTGGATCGATCAGAAATTAGAGTGACTTAGCCCAACAATTCATAGCTAAGTATTTCCCACCTTCAAAAATTGCTAAACAAAAGAATGATATTACTTTGTTTTTCTAGTTAGAAGGTGAGTCATTTTATCCTGCATCATGAGAATAATTTAAGGAACTTCTTAGGAAGTGTCCACAACAAGCTCTGCCCGATTGGCTAATTATCCAGACATTTTATAACAGTTTAGTAGGATCATCTATTATTGATGTTGTTGTTGGTAGTTTGATCATGTCAATGCCATTTGATGAGGTTTACTCTATGATTGAGAAGATGACCACTAATAACTTCCAATGACCTTATGAAAGAGTAAACCTTAGAAAGGTAGCTAATGTGCATGATACAAATGTTCTGACAATTCTAACTTCTAAGATAGTAGTAATAACAACGAAGCTAGATTAATTTGGAATGAACCAACCTGAAGTACCTCCACTAACTGAAGAAAAGTCATTTGGATAGATGATTGATTCTAACACTTTATCATTTAAAACCTTGAATGAAATTAACAACAGACATAATAAATCTTATTCTAATTTCTATAACCCAAGTTTGGAGAACCATCTTAATTCCAACTGGAATAATATTTCTGGTGGGGGAAACTAACAATGGGGAAATAAATACGAAAATCCTTTAGAAAATTATAATAACTTGGGTAATACAAACGATTGAACTTCTTATTCTGAAGGCTTTAACAATACTCCACAATTTAAAGAGAAGAAGTTGTCTCGGGAGGAGGTTGTGTTGTAGATGGGGAATCAACTGCAAAGTCAAGGTGCAATATAGAGAAAGAATTGAGCCAAATTTCTAACTCTCTAAGCAATCAGGCCCAAGGAACACTTCCAAGCAACACTGGGATTAAACCTAAGGAGAGGAATAGCGAGCATGTTAAAGCTGTCCATTTAAGGAGTGGAAGAGAGTTAGAGGATGTAGCTTGAAAAAAAATTGAGGTGAAAATGTGGAAACTTAAGAACATTTGGAGAATATCTTTAAGGACTTTGAAAAACTAGTCTCTTTGACTAAGATTAACTTAAAAAACCAAAATTCAATAGCAAAAGCAGGATCAGCAATTTTCAATTTTTTTAGAAGTATTTAAGAAACTAACTATTAATATTCCTTTTACTGAGGCTTTGGAGCAAATGCCTAGTTATGTAAGGTTCATGAAAAACATTCTTGATAAGAAGAGGAAATTTGGAGATCATGAGACAATTGTGCTCAGTGAAAAATGCGGTGCTATAATTCAGAAGAAGC